GAATGTAAAACAAAGAATCACGAATGTGTTTTATTTTATTAAGCGATCGATTTCGGGCTTATTGCACCCATCATCAGGCTGAGCTAAAATTACATGCTAATGGAATCTATAGAGTACATATAATAATGACTGTCAATGAGTATAAAAATATCGAATGTACACAAAATTTTTCTATATAAAAGTTGTTTAACCTTTTATTTTCCATAATAAGGCAGCATTCAGTTGTTTTTATTTCAGAAAACAAGTGAGGAACGACGAACAATCGATTTTTTTTAATGGCACTGCACCTTTTCATGTGGCTCATTTGATAGAGATTTTTTTTCTCTTTTCGATGATGTAACATGTTACACAAACATTTTTCAAAAAATCTTATAATCACATCAATAACATTAATCTAGTTATCCTGCATCAAAATAAAACAAATGAATGTGTACGTTTGTTACCATTTTATTGCTGTACATGTTCATTTGTTTTATTTTGATGCAGGATATCTAGATTAATGTTGTTGTGATTATAAGATTTTTTGAAAATTTTTGTTGTATTAGGGTACTAACACGTTACACCATCGAAAAGAGAAACAAAGTTTCTATCAAATGAGCCTAATGAAAAAGTGCACTGCTATTTAAATAAATTCATTTGTTTACTCATTTGTTTTCTGAAATAAAAACTGAATGCTGCTTTATTATGGAAAATAAAATGTTAAACAACTTTTATATAAAAAATGTTGTATACGTTCTAATTTTACCGAGATATATACGATATTCCATACATAATGGGCACCCTGTATAACAATCAGAGACCCGGACCAGACCAAATAGAACCGAAAACCGAACCAAAACAGGTATTTTTTTCAGAACCGAAAACCGAACAGAAACCGTTATTCCCTCATAAATAGATATTTTTTGAGAACCGGAACCTTATTATTTTTTCGGTTTTTTACGGTTCTTGGCAGGTTATTGGAAATTGAAGGACGCGTCGGCAAACACATTGATAAAATACTCTATGATTGCCATCGGTGGATTATAAATGTTTAATAAGGTGTCGAAATTGAAGGCAGTACGAGTGGCGGTGGCGGTAATTTAGCCACTACTGTAAATGTAAATAATAAAAGAAGGCGCGAGGTTTTAGAAAAAAAAATACTCAATACAAAATTTGTTGCATAGTTCTGTGTATTTTTTCTGTTTTTTTTATTTATTCATGACTTTTTACGTCTTTTTCACACCTATTAATTAACAAATTATATTATTATAATGAATTTTTTTAATGCCCTACTTTCCAAAACACTAAAACCGTTTTGAACCGAAAAAAGTGCGCAGAACCGAACCGTTGTTTTTTTAGAGCCGAAACCGGACTGGAATCGTTATAAATATTTTTGCTTAAATATTTCATTTAGGCATTGAATAAAAAATTAATTTATTCAATCATTTGGGTCCCGATAACAATCTCTCTGATGTTGCGAGTTGCGGAGTTATCATTCGTTCCAGATCCGGGCCTGTTTCCTCAGGGACTGTTTCCGGGTTGCGAAATAGGTGATCCGCCAATGGCTTCTCTTCCCCAGCGCAGGTGTTCGACCGAGATCATGAACCGTTGCAGAAAGACCGCCCATCTACTTAATTTGCTTCTATCGTCCTTCGTCCTGATGTCTAGCCATAGCAGGACTCGGTAGTCGGTTGTCGGTGCGTAACGTGATGGTGGCTTAGATCAGCGTTGTCATCCCCGGCTAGCACTTCTTCGTGGATAGTCTCAAGTTTTGTTGTCAGAGACGTTCGAGGTTCAGGCGTGGATGGTCCAGGTGTTTGAATAAATAATAATGTCGTTAAAATAAGCCATCCCAAATTTGCGCAGATGGCCGGGGAGGATTTTTTGCGTCGTTAATTTTTGAAACGTTGGTGGTGCGTTTTTGAGCCCAAATGGCATTACCCTCAATTGGTAACCGACGCCGTGTGGACAGGTGAAGGCGATGAGCGGGAGTGATTCCCGGGCAAAACCGTTGTTGCTTAGTGCGGCTGGCGTGTTGATAGCCGGGGCGCCGTGGTGGTCCCAGTACGTGTTCCTGCGGTGCGTTTGTCCCCAATGTATGCATCGTCGGGTATAGTCGGTGACGACGTGCGTTGACATGCTAGCCCTTCCTGGCTCAGGGTGAGGGGTGCAATCACCTCGCGTGCGACTAGGAAGCGACTCTGTTGGCGCTGGCCCTCCATTTCAAAAGAAATGCTATCCTCTTCGATGGACTGCAAGAACTGTAGGAGTTCCAGGATGGTGGTTGCTGCTCTTAGCCGAGTCAGCGGTCTACTCGGGAGTGGATAAGATCTACCAGGAGCTGTGCCTCTTTATTTATGACTAGTCCGAGGCAGATAGCTACTTTTCCCTACAGGAATGACAACGAGAATTCCGGTTTCCTGCTTTTCCGCCGTTTTCCAGGCTGTCCGCTTCTGCGAAATGTTTCTCCAGGCCTTGGAAGACTGGGGTCGTATAGCCAGGAAAACTTCTGTCGAGGTGGTGGTGATTTTTAAGTTCTACAGGGCTTCAACCAGATAGTCGATAATCTTCTGCAGCGTGACCGCCGTCGTTCCACTTTGATAATGTCTGTCGGCGTGGACCTGTTCCGGCTATTCTTCTATGGTGGCGGTTGGGATTTTGGTGGCGTGCGTGTCGCGTTCTTACAGTTGGCGCTCACGCCGTTGGGATGGTGTCAATGGTGGTGGGTTCTCATTTCTCAATTCACGTTGGAGTCAAAGTGTCCCGACACGTTGAACGCCAATTGTTACCGGATTGAAAGTAAGTCCTTGAGCAATGCTATGTGCTCGTTTATGACGATGTGCAACCGCGTAGCGAGCCTGAAGGAAGACCAGGCCGGATTCGTACTTTTGGTCGCCGTTGTAGAACTCTGCGTTCAGCCTGGAATCGTTGGGCTATCGTAATACTCCATTACTCACTGTCGCACTTTGGTATACGTCATGAGGAGTTATCTGCGGGGCTTCCATCATCCATCATCTGGCGACCGTCTTCTGTAGTTGGTCGCGTTGGGCTTCGCCGGGAACGGCGTTTTTGACGAAGTATTTTTCCAGGTCGTCGAAAAAAGTAGCAGAGTTTTCGAGTGGGTCCCTGGAGAAAACGAGAAGGCCGGTGGTGGCGTCCTTTAGTGCTTGGAGTGCAGCGGCTAGATGGTGGATAGGTTGAGTCCCCGTGGCCAGAATCGTTGTTGGCTCTGAGGTCGAGCTAGTGGTAGTGGCGCCCTTGGTGGTAGCAAGAGATGCACTAGCGGTGTGGTAGGTGACGCACTTGTGGTGGTAATAGGCAATACCCCAGTGATATTCGGCAACGCGCTTGTATTTGGAGATGCGCCGCTGGCGATAGTCTGAGACCCCGTGGCACTGGTGCCATGCGCCGCACTGGTCTCTGGAGATGCACCGGCACCGGACTTGCGGGCGCGGCGGGGTTGCGGTAGCGTTGAGAGTGGTTCGGGGTACAGCAAACTTATGGATTGACTTAAGGCCCCCCTTCACGTGCAGTTCTTATCTTCGCTCCTGGATTGAATTCCGGGCGCGTGTGACATGCGTTAATTTATTTCAGTTTTATTTTGTTCCTGAGTCTGGTAGTGCAACAGTGTTGTTAAAGAACGAGTTTGAAGAAGAGGAAAGCAATTGCTTTTTTGTTTCTGGTGGACGACGAAAGGGAAGTAAGAAGAAAGAAAAAAGAGTATTGGTCGAAACCGTGGTATTTGAGAAGAAATGAATCCACACATATCGATTTGTTAAAGGAGATAATTCAAACAAACCCTGAGGACTATCAAAATTATTTTAGAATGGACAGTGGAACTTGGAAAGACCATCTATACAAACAGGATACCGTAATGCGTGAATCATCAATTACATTCTACTAAAGCTGTCTCTCTTTTGCACATCTTAAGCGTACTACCTCCACCTTTGTCATATTGTGTCAATCCCGATGTGAGAACTGAGCCGCAATACATGCTCACATCTTGCTGTCGCTGCATGTCAGTTCGCGCCAGGAATTTAGTACGATTTGATTTCTTCGCTCCGCGCCGCAACTGAAGCGCGCTTGGCATGCTTAAGCCCTTCACGTGCGAGTTTGGATTTAACTGAAGGAGCGTCAGTCCCAAACTGACAAAACTGCACGTGAAGGGGGGCCTTTAGACTTTCTCTAACCACTCGACGCGAGCGCTATTGTGACTTGACGCGTATTATCTCACGGCGTCCAAAAACTTAATCGCCACCACCTTAATAATGGAAAACTACGCCCATTGATCATGCGAATCTATTTTACCAATCAGCTAACTTCTGCTCAACCAATGAAACCTCAGAATCCCAAACTGGCAGATGTAACACAGCTCCGCGTGGTGGCATACCGTTGAATCAACCAAAACCCATTACCCACGACTTGCCCTATAACGATACTACTTTATATTTTGCATCGCCCAATTCCAAAAAACCTCGCAACCCCACAAAAATTTAACTGGACACCTAGATTGGAAGAAACCACATTATTAGAACCTATTTAACTACAGAACTGAAATTAAATTCTCGCCCACACCCATTTGTGTTCTTTTTACTTTAGCGAGTAGTACCTGACTAAAAAGCGTCTAGGAAAGAGCCCAACTTTGACGCTGCAACCAAAAATCTGTACCTATTTAGGGTCGCTAGATATCCTGACAAGAAGTGCTGGACTTAAAACGGGGGTAGAAACCACCCGAATGTTACCCTGATTACCGAGAAGCGCAACGGTTTGAAAACCCTTCAGAGGAAACCAACTCATAGCTCCCTTATAATAAAAAATCATATATTCTGCAGCATCTCAGCATCTTTAAAGCACAATTACTCGCCTACGGTTCCAGAATCTTCACACATTACTGATGACATAATATTACACAAAAAAAATCCCATAAATATTGGAGCACTCATCCCTTCACAAGACCTTTTATTGAAAACTACAGATTTTTATATTGCATTAAGGTCTGTACCTCGGATAGGCCCAAATTGTTAAGTCTCTACTCGCAGATTGATTAATTTTGATTTTTAACATTGGTATGGTGTGTAAAGGGTAAGTCAAGTAGGTACCTAAAAACCGGTAAGTACAAACTTTATTGGTAAAAAAAAGTTATATAAGACTGTTGGTGGAAAAGTTCTATTCATCTCAAAATTAACAATTACGTGGTAACCCATAATTGTTTTATTGGGATGTGAACTGTTAGATATTACCTATAAGTATCTGTTTACAAAACTGAGTGTATTATTTTAAGATCCTTAAATATTAATGCCAAATAATTTCCGAGGTGCACAAGCGGGCAACTGGCAGGTCTTCTCCTCCATTTCTGTTTCCGCAATGTCGCAGTCAGTCAGACAGTGCCTCCATCGAATCTTCCTACCTTTCCCGCAACTGACACTACAGGAAGACCAACCGTTCCATTCGCCCCATCTGGACATCATACCATTCACCGCGTCGTTGCGTTTTTTATAACCATAAATTATGTCGGGTTGCGTGGTTTCTTGAAATATTCAAATAGGATCCACTAAGATTTCGAATAGATACTTACCTTTCCTCGTCGAAAAAATGTCGTCGGTTGTGGGAAATCTATTGAAACTTGTGGAAAATTGTGACCGCGAGGTCGATTCCAAAGTTTCCAGTTTGTTTAACAATTGCTCGAAAACTACCCTTAACTCCTTTAAGGTGGGAGATACACTTTTCGCTCTCGAAATATCTACCTTATCGTGAATACGATTAAATAATTGTGCGTCGCTACTCACAATAGGAGTTAGTTTATGTGTTATTTGCCGCTTTAAAATTCGTTTGTGCTTTGGGGAAAAAGTGTTATCCCCTGCGGCCGCAGAATCCGATTTGACCACATTGTCATGCCCAATTATTAATATCACTATGAAGGTATAAAAACTAGGAAACATCAGTCGGATAATTTTTGTCCATGAAAGTTTTAATTTTGACAACTAATTTGATGACAGGAACTACTTCTACTTACTATGTTTTCTTCATTGAACTGTATACTATGTTATCGATGGTTTTCTTACAAGCAGGATCGACTGGCCCATTAGTTTTCTTTCGATCATACCTATTGTGCACCCCATCCATAATACTTTTTTTTCGGATATTTAAATTCAAAAGGGAAGTTCCCAGGAAAATCTGTAAAATTGTCCTACATGTTTGAACCTACGTCCCCAATCGTACCAAAATGTCTATTTCTGAGTGCAATATAAAATGAAACCAAGGAGTTTAATGCAGGTAGTAATCTTTGCATTTCTTTATATCGTATTTGTGTTTTGTATGTCACATTTTATATTTTTTGTGTGTTTGAATCTTTGTTTTTGATATTTACTTGGTTTAACCGTAATCCATAATCACATATGTGATACCGTTATGCTATTGTTTGTAATTGTTTACGTTTTTGGTGTAATGCTTGCTTAATTTATGTTTATTGATGTTGATTGCTTGGTCTTGTCCCTGAAGTAACATTCATATAAGTTTTGATCATTTTATTTCAATATGTCGAAATTACCGATTCGTTTGACGTATGTACTGACTTGTTGTTTGTAACTAACAATCTTCTCCGTGAATGAAGCAGTCACGGGGGTGGTAAAAATCTGTAGTCAAAATTGAGCTACGACACCTAACTCCATGATTTCTTCGACATTCAACTGTAGGCTCGAAACCCCGAAACCAGGTGCGGGTTACCTATCTTGCAGGAGCGGGATTACGCTAATCAAAGCTCTTCAGGTTAGAATCAATGTGCGATAAATGAGTGGCGATTCGTAATTTCCACATATCTTGTTTTTAGTTAAATTTGCCTATAAGGCCATGTAATTTTCCATCTTGCTTTTAACAAAAGGGCTTTATTGCACCAAAGATGAGCCACATCCTGTGTATTTCACCCTTTCTTAAAATCTTGGTACCTGCTTACTTGACCCATAATTCCCAAAACTTGTTTTTAACCTATATGTTACCTCTTGAAGTTTACCTGCTACTTTTTGTGATTTATAATTTTATGTTAAGCATTCACATTCATTACAAACAATTAATTTTACAACACAATTTGATATTAATTTGACGGCTTGTTTTTTTATCGGTAAGTTCTTTTTTTCCCAGCCTATTTCTATTTTTATTCGGTGAACTACCATTTTCAAACTTTATTTTTGCATTGTAATTTATTTCGACTTAAATTTCTGAGCTTTTACAATATTAATAATTGTGATCATTATTAAACAAACTTTTCACAATTTCAGTGTTTTATTTAACGTTCCTTCCCTACCTGTGCTTCAGGGCAAAGCGTTGTCTAAAACCAACGTAAGGGGGGCCCTGCCTTAGATGTTTGATCACTAAGATCACGTGCCACTTTTCAAATTTAAGCGGGATCTTGTTTAGTTTTGGAGGGAATAGACATTCGGGTGACCTTTTTTAAACGTCGGCTTGACTTTATTTCCGTGTTCTTGTAGTGTGAAGTTAGCGTAGAACCTGGGGGTTAAGTAGACTACAACACACTTATTGAATGTGAACGGCAAAAGAAAGTAAAATGCCAATGAGGACGTAACTCTTGATTCTTGAATTTGAATAATTTACATCGGATGTTGAATCTTTCCCATTTGTGAAAAACAACATTCCGAAGTCTCTCACATAAAGTACATGAAATACATTGTTAATTAGGCGGACCTTCTCCAGTCCAGAAGGTATCTGAAGGTCCTGGATACGGTAACCTTAGACTAAAATTGTATTTCGAGATGAATGTTGCTAAGTAATTTTGACACTCCGGCATTTATTATATGTATGAATATAATAATGTTTATTTTTTTTTAATCCCTCTCTTGTTCTGGGCCCTCAACAGGCTTTCGACCAATTACAGAGTGACCCGCATAATGCTTTTTAGAGGTATTTATGCATGCAAAAGAAACATTGCGTACAAATGTCAATAAAAACTAAATACAATTCAAAATTCGTAACTAAAAAATTCCGCATATGTCGTGAACGTCTGAATTATAGGTGTAGTTGTAATGTTCCTAGGGGGGTCTATCAAGCCGACACGGAAAACGTTGACTTACCCTATACTTACGGTTGGCAACTCTGGCAAAAACTACAAGCAGAGCCACCTACCTTTCAAATCGAAACGATGGTAGTCTCGCGGCACTTTTGAATTTGGATGACAGTCGGCTCGATATGGGTGGCACGAATGGACTCCTACGTTGTGTAATCGGTTCTTTTATGTGTTGGGCCGTGAGACATAATCGGGAAGGGAATTAAATAAAAGACAGAACTTTTGTGCGTAAGAAATGACAAGATCAAATAAATATATTAACGCACACACAAGACCATGCCAGGGAAACCTTCTACGGGACTAAAACCCTGGCATAGGCCACACAAATACATGAAATAAATAATCTACAGCAATAAAATGCAAGAGAAAATACACATAAATAAAACATCTCAAATTGTATGATAAAAATCAGATAATCAAATCAAATGCAATTAAACAAGTTCATAAAATCAAAATACACAAGACATCATAAATGCAGTGGAAAACATGATAAATCAATTCAGTACAAAACACATCAAAATACCTGTACGATCAATAGAGATAACACAACTCGTCAAATAAACAAACTGCATGTACATAGGAAACATGTAAATGGTGTGGCTCTACTCCAGCCTTCTGTTAACATAATTTCATTTAACACGAAAAGTGCATGTGAGAATGCCATTGGCCAAATAGCAAATATTCATGTGAAAATCGATTATCGCTCAAACAGAACATATTTTAAATAGAGGAAATGTAAATGAGAGGGCCCCACTCGTATTGCTAAGATGTTAAGAACTACAATCCGCACGAGACGAGTAGGCAACAGATACAGTGAAAGATCTAACTGCATTAGGTACCTACTCCACGGAGACAGAAATACCCACTCGCACACACAAACATCAAAACATCAAATAAAAGAGCCCCCCTTCGTATAGCTAACGCACAAGAACTGTAGCGAGCCACGAAACAGAAAGTAACAGATACAGCGAACAATCAAACTGTATTACGTGCTTCCCTCACGGAATTGTTACGGGTCAATCGAACAGAGCAACATCACACCGATAATCAACTCCTCATGAATAACAGAAGTAAATTACTTAATTAAACAAAATAATGGCATAATCATCTGTACAATATGACACAAACATGATTCATCTAACGGTACACGAAACAAAGGCATGGAGTACGCCATGATTCAGATATCGTAGTTTATGCAAAATCAGCAAAATGTAAATATCACATTGTGGCAAGAAATTCAATGATTAAATATGTAGTACAAGAAAGAATAAAATGGTTACTACCTGTAAATACATCTTCAAAACACCACCACCAAAAATAATCAAGAATAATAAAAAAAAACCGGGAAAGCGTGTGCCTTCCGTCGGCCTCGTCGCCATCTTCTCTCCATTCTCTCCTAGCTTCGTTACCAAAATCCCCTAGTATTCGGCATCTGCGCAAAACGGTCGTTGGTTATATACAGAGCATATTATATTTTTGTTTCGGATGTAAATGTGTGCTGCCTAACCACCAGGGTAGATTATCACATAGTTTTGATATTTAATTTAACATGACAAAGACAGCTTTATATAAAAATATATGGCAAAATTAAAGGTTAATGCCATATTTCTTAATAATCGTTGCCATAGATTTTAAGTTCGACTTAACTTATTACGCAAGGCTTAATTTTGATGCTGCAACTGGGCATCAGTAGCATAAGAGAAGAGGCTGTGAAATGAACAAACTGCAAAGCTAAATCAAGCCTTCATATACAGACTAACATTGTTTAAAAAATGCTTACCTCTGAAACTTGGTCCATTAAAACTAGATTTTGAACTAACACTTGAACCTACAATGGGGGTTTACAGTATAGTTGAATTCCGCAGTTCTAATTTAAGAAGCGTGTACCTGAAACCATAAAACATTTTTTTGGACAGTAAAAGTTTATTTAAAAATAGAGGCTGATTAGCAAAAAAATAATGAACATGTGCGGTTTTAAAGGTTTATTCAAAACGATATGATTGTGGCGGGCTCTGTGACGTAATAAGCCCGACCAATCAGCTCCTAGAACCATTCAGATGACATAACGACTTGGCAATATTGCAGGAGAATGGCATTTATAACTTGCGTCATCTGTCACAGGCACTTGTCACTTTCGTGCTAGATGCAGTTAAACATCCCTTTCAAAACGTCAAATGTGACAAACGTCAGACCCTCGCGTAAGGTTGCCAGCTCACTTCTACGTGATTGGTTGTAGGTTTGTGACGTATTTAGTCTGAAGCGTTTCAAATTCGGACTAAAAACACAGCTTTTCAACAATTTATTTTGGGTTTATTTTACTCGCAAATAAAAATTGAGGACACACGGGTCTTTTAATTTGTATTGTACTTTGTGGATCAGAAATAAAAAATAAAGGCGGGATGACCCCATTAAAACTCGAAATAAAATCAAAGGTAACCCCTCTTTCTTGATAAACTAAAATGTACATATGTACCTCTTAAATAAGAGGGCTAATTGTAGATGAATGAATCATCGATAGAATTTGTCAAATAACAGATAACGATAAAGAAGAATAAACGCAATTACATCCTCCTACGTTAAAGGCGAATCCGTTCACTATAATTATTCCAGAGTCCCCAATTTAATGAATCCAAATGCCAGAGATTAATAAAATATGGATGATGGCAATTAACATTCCATGCGTTCTAACGCCTCAGCTGTATAATTAAAATAAAGTGTAAGTAGTAAGTAAAGTGTAAGTGTAAGTAAAGTGTAAATAATTTAAAATAAAGTCACGGCTCACAAAAGAAAAAGAAAGGCGAAGGTCGACAACGAAAAATTACAGCATGGCAAAATACGCGCTAAAACTGCTTGGTTCAAAAGTTAGGAGGATTTTTCAAGTAAATATACCGCGTACACAAATAATACTTGTAATGAAGAAAAATAAACTGTTACAATAACCGGGAGTATAGATAAATAGCATTACTTTAGAGGTTCAATTCGGGCAAGCACCAAAAGTAACGTGAAACGATAAAGCATAACTCGGGTTGTAACACTAAGCAGTTGAGTCCTTCAACATGTCCCGACAATGCATTTTAAATATGTCCGTTAATAAACCCACAATCTTCCATACACACACTAATGGTCCACCCTGTATTAGATATACTTACCTGCATTGCTCTCCAGGAAAGTGATTTGCCAACATATTTTCATTTAAACAGGACATAAGTAGAAAAAGGTATCCATTTTAATACTTTCGGTGTAGAAAGTCTTGTATCGGCTCCCTTAATTGTTTCCATAATTCAAATCATCCCTACCGAACAATGAATCTACTGGATAGTATAATATCAATTAATTTGAATGGATTTATAAAGTATTCATCAGCTTTTATAATGTTCCTTCATATATCTGTTGCATAGAAATACCTACTAATAAGTTAAATATTGTGTATTGCTGTCTAAGATTATATCCATAATCGAAATATTGGGCAAGTTGTTTATAGTGAAATTTTCATTTGTTAGTTACCTATACAACACAGAGTAATAAAATGTTTCTTATGATTTTAAAATGTGAAATGTAAATAATTTGCAATTGTTTAATTTCCTTTCCTTTAAATGACTTGCTGATTAAATTAATTTTAAGCAGAACTACTGTTAAAAGGGTGTTTCATGTGATCGTGGTTAGAGCAAATTAAATCTGATTAGAAAACATAACACGATTTTTTATTTAAACCAACAAAATATTAGTTTATGCACAAACAATAGAGTATTCATTAAGTACCACAAAGTAAAGTGGCAGCACTTACCAGAACTATAAATAAATAAATAATACTGATAATGTCAATAATACATTTGTAGTTGAAATCGATAAACATATCAATAGTTACTTGGTACTCAGTTACAATTGAAATGCTTTTTAAACCATTCCTGCCACCGAAATTCAAGAATAGTTGACCTTAGCTGCAATGATAATTATTTTAGAAGCGTAAATTTAAGAGTGCTTCAATTGAGATCCTATACAAGCAACTTTGTAAACTTCTCTTCATTTTGTGAGCAAAACACATTCTAAAAGAATTAAATATGGGGTTAACATATGATCTAAACAAAACACAACTAATTGACAGAAGGTGTGGATTTGTGGATAACTATCAGTAATTATCATCAAATATCTATGATTGATAAATGATTATACATTTCTATTATCAAATACTCTTACAGAGAGTATAAAAGTGGTAAGTTTCTGTCAAAATGTGTTAATTTCCTGCTTATCTTTAAATATGAAAACCACAAACCATTTGGCGATTAGCAATTTGAACAGAAAAAAGGGCCCCAAAATAAAATCTGCTCCATTAGGAAGTTACCACATTAGGCAATAGTATACTTACGCTTTTTTTAAATTGAAGTTATACCACAAACTCTGTGAAGAGTGTGAAGCACTTCCACTTAAAGCGACGATTATACACAACATTAGAGCACTATCGAAATCTAAGAAAATAAATCACAGACGAAATTAATATCATATGAATTTTATTAATCTTCGAGGTATATATATCACTATTTTTAAAATGGCTTACAAGTACTAATATGAAATGCGAGTTGATGCAATTAGAAAGGTTTGTGATGTACGGAAATTGTCATCAGCTTACATTAATGTATAAAATTGAAGACATTTAAATAACATACCAATTTTGATTGACTAGCACCTCGTCAATTAAAACGTGAGACCGTAGAACTTATCTTCAACTAATCTAAACGTGTCATACTCCCAGTTCTTCCAAAAAAACTTCGAGTGTCAGTCTCGACGCGCAGTCTTAGGCCTGCAATGAAAAACTGGCATATATAAACAATTGAATATATTAAACATGTTTATTAAAGTTTATATAAAAATTCATGAGAAAATATTAAAAATAATCACAAATCGGCGGGTTATAATGATATTAAACCTAGAAACCGATTGTCACAGCTATTTTGAATAAACAATTATTGTAACTTACATAAACAAAAACGAAAACAAATGGATATTGTCAATTCAATTTTTAATACTTTCTTTTATTAATAAACAGGCACTTAAATTTTAACTAGGAATGTAAAAAAATCTCGTTTTTTTATCAAAAGTGTGGTATTGCCTAGTTGTTTTTGAAAAAGTAAGGAGTGCTACAACTTCTATTTCACCCTGTACTGTACACAGAACTTGTTTCGACAAAAATGGCTTATCAAAATATTCGTTAGGATTACACCCGCAAACGCAAATAAATCAATTTAGAAAATATGCAGTCGAACGACATCGATAAATCACAGCCAGCTGCTTCACCAATAATTTGTAATAAACAGTTGTACAGTACTCATTAAAAAAAAACCTAACAGAAGGCACATCAATTTCACGAATTGAATTGGTCTGAATACGACGGGGCTAAATATTTTGATAAACATTTTTTGAAAATTTAGCGTACAAAAGAAAATGCCTACTGCAAAATAGTACATTTGACATTTAAGTCTTATATAAGTTCACAGCTATTACATACAATATACACGCCACCCATTATAATAACCAACTCAACAATTCGACTACCACCCTTAATGTGTACAAACAAAAACAAGTCACCAACGTAGATAAAAATATGTGCAAACTAATATTAAAAGTGGTAATCATTCTCAGTCTTTTTTCCATTCATTGCCTACGAAATAAAATGTTGAACGAGCACGAGACACAAATAATACATTCGTAAATAAAATTTGTACGTGATATGTAAGTTTAAATGTCAAATTGAATTTATAATTTTGCGTAAGTTCCCATTATACACAATATCCTCCGAATATTTGTAAAACTACAAAGAAAGAAAGGGGTTAATTCGATAATACATTAATAGCTGCATATAACATTTGTTTTTAAGACCTAAAATACAATATACTAACTAAAATGTATAAGTTTTTTTCATTTTTTAAATCATAAATACACATTGAATCGCTTTTCGTTTAAAATTCCTCTCAGCTTTTAGAGTATATATAAGCTAGGATGCCCCCGCCAACGGCGAGAGCACCCGCAATAGCTAAAGGTTTGAACAGAGACCTCTTCAGTTGTGTCCACTGCTCGTTAGCCATCTGACGTCTTTTCATATCTCGGACCCGTTCTGCCAGTTGCTCCTGTCGCTCGATACGTTTCCTATGCCGCAGCTCAGCTTGTGGCGAAATGCTGTAAAATAAATCGGAATTAATACGCAACTCTCGACACGTTTATAGGATTTATAACTGGTTTATTAAACCACAATAAGCGTTGGAATTACGTGTTTTGTTAGATTGAGCAATGTATTTTACAAAATATATATAAAACCAAAAACCTTTAGTGAAAATGGTTCCTTTTGTTTTCAGGTTACCTGTCACTCGAAATTATAGTAGTTTACGTTTACATTGCAACGCGACAAATTTGACAACTCTTTGCTACCGTTTTCATTATTTTATAGCATTTTGGTACATTAACTGATAAAAAAATTCGTTAGTTTCATACTGAACAATTATAGAAGCATACCTTCGGTAAATTGTATTCATTTATAACATATTTTGCAAATAAATTAAATTAAATTGAAATTGAAGTCTCATGCCATTGAGTTTACCAAGAAAAAGTAAGTAACTTATTTCTAATCTTATTCATTATTTTAGCGGTTAAGAAGGTGAGTGCTACTTTAGTAATATAACAATTCATATATGTTTCTAAATCGGACAAACCTCTAGAAAATCCTAAAAAGACAAGGCAATATAATAAACCCGTTAACAATGTTGATGGTTTCACACAAGCAGCAATTTGGAACTCCATTTACTACATGATCCAACCCAGTAAGTTAAAAACACATGTTGCATGTAGATAGGAGTTTCTGTCAATTGTGCTTCAAAAACAAATGATCCAGATTACCATGGGGAAATGAACAAGGACTTTTAAAGCACAACTTCAGGCATCGCTATAGCACAAAAATGTGTCTAAATGATACATTAAAAGTGGAATGGAAAAGTTTCCAGTTTTTTGTTGTAAATTAAATTTAAGTAAAATGAAACAAAACTGCGTAAGAATCATTAAAATAGCTCTACAAATGAAAAATCTGCAAAACTTTAAAGTTGTGCTATGAAAAATAATTTCGTTTCACCATTTGACGTCAGTCCTATCACAACCTATACTTTTGCTATACCATATATTACGTTTATATCATATTTTTAATAATTTTGAAATGACATGCTTACTATGGATACAATAAACAAAACAGCATCCCCCATAAATTCATGGCCTAATATTTCAAGACTGTGAAAAACACGGTTTTTGTTTTCATTTCATGGCTCAAACTAAAAAAAATATAGATTGTGATCCATGAATGTAACCAAAAATCCAAAAAAATGGACGTTAAGAGTGTTGCATTTAAAAAATACCAACTTTGTGTCAGATATCAGAAACAATGGACCAAAAATTATTTTTTACTACACCACTGGATTCTACACAAAAATATCTCAAATAGGCAGTGTTTACCTTTTTTCTATCTTGCACGGTTAGTAAGATATGATAACATCTTAAAAAGTCAAACTTTTGATTTTCACTCTGTACCTCACAAACGTAGCTACATTGAGTCTGTTTATAATATGAAAAGTTTCACAAAAAGGCCGCACAGGGTCGCGAAAACAGAAAGTCTCAATCTTTTAAAACAGCCAATCTTTGCATTTTTTTATAATTTATTTGTTTTGTGGGCTACATTTTATATTTTTCCATCATTGTTTTGGAATTGACATGATTTAACCTCAATGGATCGCGTACATAGAAAATACCGTTAATCTTTATATATTTTATTTTATTCATTTTTGGTGTAAATGTGTGCTGAATTTATGGTTATTTTTGATACATGGTCTTGATCGGAAGTTAAGTTTATAAATTTTGATCATTCTTTTAAATAAATAGAAATGATCGAATTATTTGAAATTTGATGTGTGTATTGACTTGTTTTTTGTAAACTAACATTTTTTCGCCGTGAATGAGATTGTAACCACATTAGTTACGACTCCTAATGCCCACATTGTTCTCGAATGTCAACTATAGGCTAGGAAATCCTGAATGAGGGTACATAATTGCTAGCTGTTCGAGTAGTGAAACTCTGCTAACACAAAAACTCTTCAGTTTAGAATCTATTCGCAATATTCCACTTTTCATGCAGTTTTAATATAAGGATTTTACTGCACCATTTTTAACCTTGACTGCAGCTAACTTTGTGTCTATGCATTTACTGTTTCTGTTAATCACTTCTTAAACTTGATAATTTTACAAATTATTGCTTTTGAATGTATTAATCAAATGTCAAGGTTTTTCTCAGTCATACTCTTTTTTCCTTTCTATTCGCAGATAAAACATCTTCCAAATGATTGGCTAATCCGTATTGTTGGCGATTTGCGTTAAAATTGGGACATACCACAACTATGTAAGACACTGTCAGAGGGAAGTTGCACAGATCACAGTATATTTGAGCGACTTGTGAATTTTTCAGTGATAGCTGATAACTGTCTGTAAGGGTACATTTATGTTGGCGCTGCGAACTGCGAACAGAGCAGTGATGAAAGCGAAGCAAGTTTTGCAAAATATAATATCCATCCTAAAAATAACGATATCAGCAAATGAATCTCTTTCCTCGCTCTTCTCAATGCAGCTATGCGTTTGCGCGATGCCTACGATACTTACAGGCCGGAACGCTCGAAAAAGTCACGTGACGTTAGGAGTCATATGAAATACATTACGGCTTATGGAAAATCCGTTCGCGGCTCCACTATTTATTTTTTTACTCCGGATCCGTTCAACATAGAGCCACGAAATTTCAATGAGAGCTTGTCAATAGTACACACAATCAAATTATGGTGTTCGTTAATTTTCGAGCGCTCCGGCCTGTAAGTATCGTAGGCCTCGGTTTGCGCCGTTCGAACATAAGCGCGTCCATTTACTAGAATATTTTGCAAAACGTCGCTCCGCTTTCATCGCTGCTCTGCTCCCAGCGCCAACATAAACGTACCCTTAGATAACAATGACCGATCCATAGTCGAGTGAGAATGATTTCTTGTCATGTAAGTAGTTCTACAGGGTACCTTTCATTCTCTGCTGTTCTTTTTATTGTTTTCAATTCACTGTCCCTTTTCCATTCTTCTTTTCCAACTCACATACAAATTCTTTTTATACACCTTGTACAGGGTGAGTCAACGATTGCGCGGATTAACTTAATGCCTTGAAGATAAGATTTTTCGATAGAGTGCTTTTGTATTATGATATGGTTGAATATTCTCCACATTTTAAAAATATTTGGAATTATACAGGGTGCGCCCACAAAGTAGGGCTCCAAAATGGTACATTTTTTTAAATAGACCCCCCTGTATTTGAATGCATTTTTGAATTCTACGTGTAATTGTACGTCTTTTTGATTATATGGTTAATATCGGAAAAACTAGTAGTTTTAAAGATAATTCGATCTGTATGAAAAATTGGGCATTTGCAAGCGTCAGTATATTGTCAAAATTATTACTTAAAATTTGATTCCAGGTTTTATATCTTTTATCCTGGGTTAAGTAAAAGTCAAATAAATACATCTACTATGAAACATTAAAAAATAGCTTACAGGGTGTTTTTTTGTAGGTCCAAAGTCACAAAACTTCATATTAAAAAATCTCACTTTTTTTAAATGGAACACCCTGTATATTTTTCTTTCATCTTTTAGCTCTTCCAAAAACCTTCAACTTTTGATAATAATGTCCTACCTATCTCTGATATTTTTCAAAATATCTTGTTTTCCTGGTTTTTATATTTTAATCTGAAATAAGTTCTAATTTACATAATAACGAGGTGAATATGAAAAAAAAATGAAACTAATATCACTGACTGGATGACATTAGGAGTTAAATTAAATTTGCTTTGTAGTCAAATGTTTTTACTTATTCTCCAGTTTTTGGACTTAAAATAAATTGTTTGAAAAATAAATTAATCGATATGATTATTTAAGAATAGAATATAAAAACCAGGAAAACCAAGATATTTCGAAAAATATCAGAGATAGGTATACAACATTGTTATCAAAAGTTGAAGGTTTTTGGAAGAGCTAAATGATTAAAGAAAATATACAGGGTGTTCCATTTAAAAAAAGTGAGATTTTTTAATATGAAGTTTTGCTTTGGACCTACCAAAAAAAACCCCGTAAGGATAAAAGATATAAAACCTGAATCAAAATTTAAGTAATAATTTTGACAATATCTGACGCTTGCAAATGCCCAATTTTTCTTAAAAATCGAATTATCTTTAAAACTACTAGCTTTTCGGATATTAACCATATAATAAAAAAGACGTACAATTACACGTAGAATTCAAAAATGCATTCAAATACAGGGGGTTCTATTTAAAAAAATGTACCATTTGGGCGCCCTACTTTGTGAGCGCACCCTGTATAATTCCAAATATTTTTCAAATGTCGAGAATATTCAACCATATCATAATACAAAAGCACTCTATCGAAAAATCTTATCTTCAAGGCATTAAGTTACTCCGCGCAATCGTTGACCCACCCTATACAAGACCTCAGGAATATCATCTACCTCTGTATGATTGGCAGCCAGGTGAGCCTCGAAATCAACTTGTTCAATCCCGAGAATTCCTACATACCTTGTCCTTGGGTATTGAGGTAATGTTATTTTTTCTTTGTTTATAATAATTTATTTATAATAAAAATATTAACACACTCCACTAAATTAAATAACTGCTCTCGTATAGAAAAAATTGGCTATGGTGATGTGTACTGCAAACAATATACAGTGCGTTCGAGATACGAGGGTCACCTCAATATCTCTTTTATTTGGCGAGATACGAAACATGTCAAATATAATTTTATATGTGACATTACGATCTATATTACTGCATATTGAAATTCCGGCATAACTTCCGGTTTAACCGGAAATCGATACAACTTTTGGTTTTTTAAATTCAATACCTATGTTTTTTAAGATTTTGAAAAGGGCAATCAATTTTCTGTACGACAACATGAAATATGCATATGGTTAATCTACCAAAAAATGGAGAAATTAGTGCTTCAAGATTTATAGTATTTTCTAATAGTTTTTGTTTGTTTTACGTTGTATTGTATTGTGAATACCTGTACATTTGTGGCATGTCCATATACATTTTTGAAAATGTCTTAACTGGATAAATAATTTTTATTATTATTATTAAAAAAATTATGAAATCTAGCATGGAGGGGTGCCATACCACACAGAAAATACATGTATAGAGCGTTCCATTTAAAATAAGCAAGTTGGCATATCCGAAACTGAAAAATGTTTTACATCAATTCCTCTTAGTAACAGTAGTATATTGCAACATTTTAAAAATAGTCCCAGGTCTCCCCCTTTAGAGATATAAATAGACGGTATTCCTCATGGGACATCGACATACGAGACGCTGACAATGTTTTAGACAATCCAAAAACTCTGACATGGAGAATAGAATCAAAATTTTTTGTTTGAAGAATAAATCTTTCATAGAATTTTAAAACGTTTGGCTATTATTGGGCATAAAGGGAGTAGGTGAAAATTGTTAGAAATTCTTGGCTTGTTGAATTTTTTTGCCTTAATTTTTGAGTGGGCGGGGTTTCAGCCAATCCACTATACATTTTCAAATATCCATGCCCGAACCCTGATTCGAACCAGGGACCCTTAGTACCACAGTCCAGCTGCCACACGGGCCGGCATTGAGACTCATATTTAAAAACTGTATTCTTTACTATTGGAAATCTTTAGATCCAAAAGAAAAGTGAATTCTTTTAGTACTTTCTGTTTGTGCATTTTTCTGTATTTAAAACGCGTTGTAAGACAAAAAGTTCATCTTGTTTTACCCATTAAACCATTTAAAAAAACATACTAAGTATATAAAAATATGTTTTTATTTTGTCGTTTTTTTTCCTATAGGAGAAGAAATATATCTTCTTTTCTTTGTTTTTCCACAGTATATATATATTGAAAGAAAAAATTCAGTTTTTGTTATTTATGATTCATAGAGGATAACATTTTATGAGCTTTTTTAAGTGTTCCAATGTTATTTCGCTTAAAGAAGAAAGTTCTTAACATTTTATTGGTGTCCGCATTTAATTTTTTTTTTTAGAAAATAAAACCTCAGTTTCTTTTGTTTTTTTTTATCCAGAGGGGTTGAATACTCTACCGATCAGCGATCGATTACATGTTTTTGGTTTTCTGCATTTAGTCTTTGAGAATTGAAATATGTTTTATTGCACTTTTGTAGTCCCAAAGAAATCTTTCATGCATGACATTTGTTATAGTAATAATAGTAATAGTTAAAGGCACTAGTAGTTTCCTATACCATTGGACAAATATTCTTACCTCTATCATCATCTAATTCAATTAAAAATAAACAACACATGATATATTATTAATTATTATGCACTTGTATGTATTGACAGTAGAGCTACTTGAAAAGATTAAAGCAAATTTTGGAAATAGATGTGGGGGAAATGGGCACAAAAATTTTGAAACTGTTATAGAAATATCTGGAAATGGCAATAGGGCATGCAACATCGTTAGCCATTTTTTTGAAAAATGTTAGAATTGCCAAGAATTTTGGAAATAGAAAATTTTTGAAATCATGAAAGTTTGGAAAATATTTTGAAACTGCCCAAAAATGCAAATGTGGAGGACAAACTTTCAAAAAAGTGACACTCGAAAGAAACACCTTACTAAATCAGATGTTTCTATCAAAACAGATGGGTCATACCTATCGTGATGGCCGTTTATCGTATCCGACTTATCCGAAACCGGGCTGCTTGTTCTAATAGATTCGTCTTCCAACTCGTCGGCGCTACTCTCTTCGTCCTCACCAGGCAACACTGGTAAAGGACCACTGGGTGGATTTTGTAACTACAAGCACATTACCGTAAGAACATACATTATAAAATCGCGACCGCGTACATCTTCTATACTACCGTTATCATCATAATTAAAATCACTAAGCGAAGCACTGTTAGGAATAGTGGGTAAAGGTCGATTTACCGGAGGACCTTCGTACGTCATACGATTAAGGCTATCTAGTCTCGGAGGCGGCAAAGGCGGAGATTCGTCCTCTTCGTCGGAGCTATGATTGCAATTTTCCGACACGCTGTTCAATTCTACCTGATCAGAATTGCAGTTCTGTAAAACAAACGGGTTAGTTATCGAAAAGTTCCGAGAGGGTTTTACCTGAACCGAGGAAAAGGGAAGTTAGGATTTACATTGCTACGGTTAATGAGGTTAAAAGGAGCGATTGAATAACTTTGGAAAATACCTGAGAATCGGCCGGAGATTTTGTGAACTGCTTGGCCCCCTCTATGATGGCTTGATATGAAAATTTGAGCTGTTCGGGCGTTTGAATCAGTCCCATTCTGTACCTTCTCATTTCCAACAGGATGTCTTTAACATCGACCGAATTTAGTCCAAATTTCTCAATCTTAAAAAGCACAAATTTTAGATAATAATACGGAAATAATAATGGCTGTTACACTTACAAGAATAAGACACGAATCAACAAGGCAAAAAGTTCCAGATCTACCGATACCGGCCGAGCAATGAACAATGGCCGGACCGACGTCACTTTCCAGTACGCCCGCCGCTTGTACCTTACGTAAAAATTCTAAGAAAGCAGTCGGAGAATTCGGTACCCCAAAATCGGGCCACGTTATGTAATGAAATTGTAATATCTCTCTACTTTCGCCGGACTTAACGTCCGTTAGCCGTAATAATCTCGTGAGATAATAGGAGTGATCTTGTTGCTCTAAATATTCTAACGTAAGACCTACATCGTCCAGTTTCATAATGTAGTCGGCGCCTATTTTAATAGGCCAGTATTGGCAACATTTCTCCTGCTTCTTTTCTACTAATTTATTTAACATAAGCACCGCTTTCGTGTTCTGCTCCCATACCATCAACCAAAAGTGCGCGATTGTGTTCGGTAGGGGGCCCTGTGTTAAAATATATTGTCTATTCGCTCTTTCAATTTTAATTAAATTGGCATTAATGTAGTCGGTCGAACCTCTCTGTAAAACGATCCTACTGTGGTCAAAGGGGCTGACATCTCTGTATCTGTTTAGAACTTTATTTTGTGGTTTAATCGCCTCCAAGCAGGTATTACTATATTTCGACGAATCAGATCGAATTTGCTGAAATTAGTTTTAATGAATGACCTATTTATAACTTGAAGTATTTGTGGAGATCGCATTTGATTTCGTAGAATTAGTGATTAGCAATCTATATTTACCTGATAAAGAAGTTCCCACCCGTTTTTAGAATTGAGGTTTAGATACTCTGATTCAATATTGTTACCAGATGTCATTTTCAATTTTAATTTATACTTTTTTGGGAAAATCACAAAAACGAAATCAATAGGAACTCATATACTTGTCAATTTTACACTTATTAACGAATGAGAAAACTGCCAACGAACGAACTTTTATACAAAACTTTTTACACACCAACAGTAAACGTAGTCGCCATTATTAAAAAGAGTAAACATAATCGTGGAGGCATTTAAATTCCCGTACACCGAACGAGGACAGATAACGGAAACCAACTACTGTCAAAATGAGGGGCTGCCAATATAAACATTCAAAAAATCTTCCAAAAATATTTAAATAATAGAACTGTAATTTTAATGAAAGATTGCGCTAGGGATGAATCTTACTTCATTTTATGAACTTATGTGTTACAATTTTTATTGTCACCAGTAAAATCATAAACAAATGCATTTACACCTCCATGGACCATTGCTACGGTTACCAGTGGCGTACACTAAATACGTTCAGGTTGAAGGCATATGCATCATGCATGTCAATTTGAAAACGCACCACCCCAAATACCATGCGATCAAGAATGAGTTGCTGTTAAGTCACCTTTGGAACTTTTGTTTACAGCAACTCATTGTTGATCGCCCGTTATATGAATCGCAACAAAAAATATACGGCAAAACAAAACTTAACATATTTAAGGGGGACTTTTACAAGGCTGGTCGCGGATTAAATTGGATCAAAACCTATTTTAAAGGTCATTCAAATGTCCTCAAAAATATTACACATTGGTGGCGAGCCCCTGAAAACTTAACCCCGCTCTAAGAACTCGTGCGTTAATTTAAAAAATAGACGCCAGGGGTAAACACACTTGTTTTACGTCAAGGGGGCGTTTGTACGCCATGGTGCTGGAAAAGGCGAACTAAGAAATTTTTTTAAATACTCGCCGTTTTGTGCGGATTTACCAGCAGGTTGAGTAGGCTGGAGCGCAGGGTGACAAGTTTGGCCTAAAAATTTCAAAAATAAAAAACGTTATTATACAGGGCGAATTTTTTTTTCATTTTCACTATCGCTGGGATCTCGTAAAGGGTAGCAGATACAAAGTCGCTTAAATGAGCAAAGTTATGCAGAATTTTATGTTTATTAATTTTCCCTTTCAAAGCTTCTTGTAACTCTACAAATAGCGAAGTTACAGCCAACAAACCGAAAATTTTCCAAATTACGCTGGCGTTCATTTATTTTCAAAGATATCAAAAAATTATTTTAACAAAGCCTTAGTGATTTTTTCTCATCTTTCTGATCTCTATAATTATTTAGATGTTTTCAACACATGTTACTTATTGCATTTCAGTGCTTTAAGAAAAATCAAACAAACCATAAATAATTTAAAATAAAGCATAAACATGATGGAGTAAAATAAATATTTATTTTATTTATCGTTAAATTTGTTTCGTTTAATGAGATAAGCCTCAAAAGGAGCACCAAAGAGATGTTTGACAGACGCACCATCTTGAAAAACTGCCTTTACTTAAAGCAAATGGTTAAATCATGACAAACCTTAGATCATTATGTTAATATGTATGATCTACGTCAGAAATGGTTTTTTAATATGTTCTTTCCTCTGTGCTTGCTTTTTAAATATTATAATAATAACCATCAATGTAACAGATAGATAGGTAGGTACTTATTTGAAATATTTAGTTGAAATACCTATTTTCTATTTGGTATTTAAATACCAAACCTATTTAGTCTCTTGTATTTAAAATAAATTACCATTTCTTACTTTGTATTTTCTATTTTAAATAGATTTTGAAAAATATTGTACCCAGCTCTGCATCTATAGGATCCAATAATTACAAGTAGCTCATTTAAATTCCTTACATTATGTTTTAAAAAATGTTATTTGAAGTTATTTTATCATTTGTCTCATAATAACAATCTGTACATTTAAAATTTGTGGAAAGTTTATGATTTAAAAGATGTTTGATACTGTATTTATGATTTGTCTAATATCGATGAGCACCTTTGACATCAGTACAAACTTTATGTTTTAATACATGTCGCTTGAAGACATATTTATTATTTGTCCCATACTCACAATCAGTACATTTAAAGTCCTTTGAAACTTTATGTTTTAAAAGATGTTGTTTAAAGTTGCCTCTAACATTTGTCCCATAATTACAATGGGCACATTTAAAATTCATAGAAACTTTGTGGTTTAAAACGTGTCGTTTGAAGTTGCGTTTAACATTTGTACCATAATCACAATCAGCACATTTAAAATCCCTAGAAACCTTATGTTGCAGAAGATGTCTTTTGAACACAAGTTTATTATTCGTCCCATAATCACAAATATCACATTTAAAATCCTTCGAAACTTTATGTTTTTTAAAATGCTGTTTGAGGTGGCGTTTATGATTTGTCCCGTAATCACAATCAGCACATTTAAAATCCTTTGAAACTTTATGTGTTAAAAGATGTTGCTGGAACAGGTGTTTATGATTTGTCCCATAATCACAATTAGCACATTTAAAATCCTTTGAAAGTTTATGTTTCAAAAGATGTTGTTTGAAGTTGGGTTTGACATTTGTCCCATATTCACAATCAGAACATTTAAATTCCTTTGTAACTTTATGTTGTAGAAGATGTCGTTTGAAGAGTTGTTTATTATTTGTCTCATAATCACAATCGGCACATTTAAAATCTTTCAAAACTTTATGTTTCAAAAGATGTTGTTTGAAGCTGGGTTTATCATTTGTCTCATAATCACAAGCAGCACATTTAAAATCCTTAGAAACTGCATGTTTTAAAGAGTGACGTTTGAAGTGGTGTTTATCATTTGTCTCATAATCACAACTAACACATTTAAAATCTTTAGAAACTTGGTGAGTTAAAAGGTGTTGTTTGAATATGTGTTTATAATTTGTCCCATAATGACAATAACCACATTTGAAATCTTTAGAAACTTTATGTATTAAGAGATGTTGTTTGTACACAAATTTATTATTTGTGCCATAATCACAATCAGCACATTTAAAATCCTTGGAAACTTTATGTTTTAAAAGATGCCGTTTGAAGAAGTATTTATTATTTGTCCCATAATCACACGTAGCACATTTAAAATCCTTGGAAACTTTATGTTTTAGAAGATGCCGTCTGAAATTGCCTTTAGCATTTGTCCCATAATCGCAGTCACCACATTTGAAATCATTAGACCCTTTATGTTTTAAAAGATGTTGTTTGAAATTGCTTTTATAATTTGTCTCAAAATCACAATCAGCACATTTAAAATCTTTAGACACTGTTTTACACCGAGTTAAAAGGTAATGGTGCTGGACTTCTTCATTATAAAGAGATTTAGAACAAAATGTACCAATGTTAACTTCGTCCTTTATTGTCACCAAAACTTCGTTGGTTACTGAAATGTGTCCCCGAAGAAAGGAATGGATTTCTTCTTCATGTTTTGGTTCGATTTTAACAAGTGGTGTGTCATCTCCATCCATTATACCCGAGATTATACCTAACAACAATACTGTTATAAATAAATGTATTAAAAATTTATTTTATTAAACAATGCAGAGTGGAGATCCCAGGGCAACCAGACATTACTTTCAGAGTAACTTTGTTAAATAAGATTAGGTCTCAGAATACATAGGTAGTGTTAGTAAGTATCTATACAGAGAACACAATATTTACAGGTACCAAATGCTAAAGGTAGTAAAATACTATGAAAAAAAGTAAGTAATCCCTGGTGGTTCTTGGATCTTGAACTAATACCTAAAAATTTGTCATTCTTCCGATGGTAATTCAGTAATCACACAAAATCTAATGCTCGTGGAAGTTGTACCTGCGTTAACCCTGGTGAAGCAGAGGTACCTAATAGGTACCTTTATCTTGAGCCTTGCTCTTATGTTTAAAAACATTAATGCAAAAGCAAAGATATGTACATATTGATGTACTCTCGATTATACTCACCTAGAATATTAAAAGTCTATCACAATACCTACCTACATGTTCTTTACATGGCACATCAGGAAATGAGGAAAAAAGCTACTCTCCATAAATAGAAAAGCAAAGCACAGGACCTGCGTGCGGCAAAATAACTTCAACTACAGTGTCCACTGCGCAAGAGTCAACGCAATCGTGCGGCCACTAAGCTGTGGTGCGGCTGCAACAGAAATTACCAAAGGGTGTATATGTTACCGGCAAACTGCGAAATCCGGCATTTTGCAAAATCCCTAGGCATTTTGCGAAATGACCAATGCAGCAGGCAAAGTGTTAAATGGAACTCGAGTTTGCACTTCTCCTGCCTCTCTTTAAGGATTTCGCAAAATGCCTAAACGTTCAGGCAAAGTGAGAATGCTCGGATATTTTCCACAGATTGCGCGTACAGCGGTGCCAAACGTAAAACCGTCGCGTTACTACCTTCCCCCATCTGATATATTCTCCACAGTAAATCCAAAGGTTGACTCAACAGAAAACCGATAGATGAAATGCAGTATAAACGTGAGCGCAATATTTGGCGAGTACTTAAATAACATCGCAATCGTACGCGTCGTTTACCATCCAATGGCAACGCTGTATCCCCAATCTGTGGGAAATGACGAAGCCTTCGCACTTTGCCTGCATCTTTAGGCATTTCGCGAAATCCCTAAAGAGAGGCAGGCAAAGTGCGAACTGCAGCTCCGTTTCTCACTTTGACTGTTGCATTCGTCATTTCGCGAAATGCCTACTGTAGGCATTTTGAAAAATGCCGGATTTCGCAATTTACCGGTAACATATATAAGGGTGGGGGAAAGCGCGTCAAATAATACCTAGTGTATGTCATGAGTGTGTAAGGGGGAAGGGAGGGACATTGATATTGGCTGGATTACCGGACCTCATAATTTGTTATAATTAAAATAACTTTAAAATTGTCGCAGTTTCACTGTACACACTTTCTTATTCGCAAACGTGTATACCTACAGGATGGCCCAACGAAAACAAAACAGACTTAATAACTCGTAAGGAAATAGTTTTTGAAGCAAACGCAAAAACACGTCGATCTTCTACTTCAAAATGTACACCCCTGCTGGAATTCTCAACTTTGAATACAAGACCAACTTTCGCCACCACCAGAATCGACATTGATGAATATCTAGCAAATATTGCCGTATTCCAATTTGAGGTAAATACATGGACAGAAGAGTGATAAAGCTACTTTCGTATATGATCATACGCCATTTTATTGAAAATTAGGCAGATATCGTGCATTTGTTCATTTTGTGATGTTATAGTACCTAGGTAGGTAAGCTATATCACTGATAGTAAACTACACCACCATCAACCCCGTCTTCCTGAGGATGCCGCTACTGCAACAACAACCCCCGCGTCGAAAACCTTCTTCCCAACGTTTTCCTGGAAAAACAATCTTACAGTAATGCTGTAATTCTTTTTAGTAAATACTTACAAGCCTCTTCCATCCTTTCCATTTTGCTTCCGTCTGCCCGAAAAGGCTGGCGATAATCAGCATCCAGAAAGACGAACAGTTTTGATACATTCATGTTTACGTTGCAAAATTACTGCAGCTGAATAACGCTCGATCGGCTTTATATGTACATACTATATCAGGTATGAGCGTCTCGAGAGAAGATAACACCGATGATTTAGAACACTTAATATTTTCGATATCGATATAAGGTAAAGGGGATTTTCCAAAAAAAATAGATACAGATTACACTCAGCTTCAAGAATCGAATACAAATATTTAACTTGTGCTGAATTTTTTTATCATACATGAGCGAGGATAATGCCTTCATTGGACAAATATTGACAGTGTTTTCCCCAAACTTTTGAAGAAAGCGCCTAAGTAAACATAAAATGTCGGTGATTTGTGATTTCTAATATGTAGATAATGGCGACTATGATATTATACTTGCCCAAAGCTCAAATAATGCACGAAAGACGTTTTTGAGTAGTTGAGGGCAACAAGCACGCGAGGGATTAGGACGCACTTTAGTCCTGTGAACTGTGCCTGTGATATACACCTACGCTATTTTTAGCGCATTTCCACAAAAATAAAAAAAAAATGCGCTATTGTGACCACTTTGTCCGTCCGTCCGCCCGTCCTCTCGTTTTGCGACGCTACTAGTTCTTTATCTTAAGAGCTATTGTTCTACTTTTTTCGCTATTTGGTTCGTTATGGTGTCGAGTCTTGCACCAAGGAAGGAATTTTTTCTGTACCGCTTACAAAAAAAGTTATTGTAAAAAAAACAAAAAACCGTTTTTTACATGTTCCATAATTTTACACTTTTGCCGTTTATTAACGATCCTAGAGATCGTTTATAATTTTGCATTGCTGTCTGTCGTCTGCCTGTTGGTCTGTCCGTCTGTTCCTTTGTCTGTCTGTCCCTCTATCTGTCCGTGTGAACGATAACTTTGTTTAGAAATGTCCGATTGCTTTTACATCTCCGTTAGTTATGAACTGAATTGCATGAAATTCAATATGGGCATAGCTTTAGCCATATAATACGCAATGCCAAAAGTTGAGTCGAATCGATTCAAAATTCACAGTGCCCTTTTCGCATCTCGACCATTTATAAACCGAATTGCAAACTTTTTTAATTATAAAAGTATTTAAATGAAATTTGATACATAGCCACTTGGAATAAATGAAAATCGAACGCCAGTTTCAAAATTTGGTTTTGCGCATGCGCAGTGCCAATTTTTTTATTTATGGAAGAATTTAAGCGAAATTTGATACATAGGCACATGGAATAAAGGAAAATCAAACGCCAATTTCAAAATTTGGTTTTACACATGCGCAGTGCCAACTTTTTTATTTATGGAAGAATTTAAATGAAATGTGATACATAGGCACTTGGAATAAAGGAAAATCTAACGCCAGTTTCAAAATTTGGTTTCGCGCATGCGCAGTGTCAATTTTTTTATTTATGGAAGCATTTAAATGAAATTTGATACATAGGTGCTTGGAATAAAGGAAAATCTAGCGCCAGTTTCAAAATTTTATTTTGCGCATGCGCAGTGCCAACTTTTTATCTATGGAAGCATTTAAGTGAAATTTGATATTTAGGCGCTTGGAACAAAGGAAAATCTAACATTAGTTTCAAAATTTAGGTTTGCGCATGCGCAGTTCCAACTTTCTTATTCAGAAAAGCATTGAAATGAAATTCTTCTCATAAACTGAACTTGAAGTAGCACGTCAAAAATGGATTGCCCATGTGCAACGCTATCTTTCATATTTGTGGTCGGATTTTTACGATTTTAACAGAAGTTGCATCTTACAAATGGGAAATGAATGCAAGTGGAAACTTGTTTGTACTCCGGTAACCAGCTACAGGAATTTCAATGTTAAAGTGTAAATTTGAAAGAAAAAAATAATAATTTAATGCACCTATACGTGGGAGATTAGATTGTTCATATAAATATGTATAGTGTGTTTTGAGATACAGAGTTTCTCTGCGAAACGCGTTTTCATCGCGCTGCTGACATCTTGGTTGGTGCTGAAAAGTGACCGACAGTGCTTTCTTGGACCAGAGTGGCATAATCGCCGTATTATTCGTTTCTATGCAATTAGAACTGCTGGCGCATGATTCCATATGATAATTGCATATTGAAAGGTGAGAATAACCAAACCTCCTGCTCCTTGGTTAACCGAAACCATACGGGAAATGATATGCTTGAGAGAAAAGGCATTAGCTGGATTTAAAAAAAACTAAAGCGACCACCGACTTTAATAATTACAAAATGCTGCGAAATATTGTAAATAACGCTGTTAAACTGGAGAAAAAAGCATTTATAACATTTAAATTAAAACAGAATGGTAAACAAACTACTTAGGCAGGTTTTAAAACAATTAAACATTTACAATAAACGAAATTCATCGGGTTTTCCCAATCATTTGCAGGATGTTAATAAAATAATCAAATATTTTATCAATATTAGTAGTAAAGTTGAGCGAACTAGCGCACAAGACATTGTCACGAACTATTATCTTAATAACTCATTTGATAGCAATACTACACAATTTGAGTTTCAAACTGTCACGGAAGAAGTGGTGGAAAAAATAATACAATCTATCGGATCAAATGCTGTAGGAATCGACAATATAAGCATCTCAATTATACGTTTATGTTGCCCTGTAATTATATCGTATTTAACACATATTTACAATTTTTGTTTCAAAAATAGTGTATTTCCTGAAATATGGAAAACTGCATATTAGTGTTACCTTTACCAAAAACGTCGAATCCTACTGAACTTAAAGAATTGAGGCCTATAAGTATTCTTCCCGCACTTTCTAAAATTTTAGAAAAAATAATGGCTTCCCAGATAAAGCAGTATCTTTGCTTAAATAACATACTTCCGGACACTCAATCTGGATTCCATTCACGCTTCAGCTGTGCAACCTTATTGCAGTTGGTGACTAATCAAATTTGTTATGCAATTGAACGTAACGAAATATATTTGCTAATTCTGTTGGATTACAGCAAAGCATTTGACACGATAGATCATAAAATTTTGCTATCAATATTGAAATATATTGGTTTTAATGCTGCAGCTATCAACCTGGTGTCGATGTTTATCTCAAATAGGTCACAAATTCTCCATTTAAATGACATACGCTCAAGTCAATTGCCTATCTCTTCAGGAGTACCTCAAGGTTCTATATTGGGTCCACTCTTATTCATAATTTACACATCTAGTTTTCACCGATCATTAAAATTTTGCCAATGTCACATGTTTGCAGATGACACGCAAATTTCATACGTTTTCGATGCTTCTAGTGGGAAAGATGCAAGCGAAAGGGTTAATAAAGATTTAAAGTCGATAATTGGCACGAGTGGTAAGCATTCCTTGCTAGTAAATCCTAGCAAATCAAAGCTTATGGTTTTCGGTAGAGCGAAAGAACGTGAAAATGCGCTGAAATCTTTAAATATCAAAATTGACGATGCGACCTTACAGTGCTCAGATGTCGCGTAACTTAGGTCTTAAACTAGATACTATAACCACAGATAAACGGAGCCTGTGCTATAACCTAAAATTTAAACAGCATATTAATGAGTGCATTAGAAAGGCTTATTACAACTTAAAAATTATGTATAGTAATCGGCAAATATTAGGGCAAAAAACAAAGGCGATGCTCTGTAATTCTTTGGTACTTTCTCATTTCACATACTGTGATACTGTTTATGGTCCTTGTATTGATAGTGTGGATATTAAGCGAATCCAGAAAGTACAAAATTCATGTTTACGGCTTATCTTCGGTATCAAAAAGCGGGAGCATATTTCACATAAGTTGAAAGATGTGGGTTGGTTGAAAATGAGCGATCGACGGCTGTTGCATGCGGCATGCTTTTTTCGGAAAATAATTATTACGCAATCTCCACCTTACCTATATGGCCTAATTCAATTTAGAACAGATGTATGTACATCGTTTAAATTCAAGGCACCGCGGTTTATTGTCAATACCTCGTCATTTTCTATCATCTTTTCGCCGGTCATTTGCTTATAACGTCGCCTATGTATAGTATATAATTCTGTTCCATCTGTTCTAAAATGTAGCACTTTGGATCACAAGACATTCAAGAGACTATTATTCAAACATTTGGTACGATAGTTGGTTTAGTACTGATACACAAACTAAGGAGAGCATTCCAATCATTGATGTTTAGGGAAAAAGAAAATTGGTAGATTTACTTAGAAGTGGTGATCTAATAAAAGCCAGGTGTCAAATTCTTGACAGAATAGCTTCTTAGCTGAAACCAAAAATTGTCAACATATGTACGCACTTACAGACGGGAAAATTTTATTCCTTAAAAGTTGCTTCAAATGATCTAAAACGTCAACATTTGATGAAATTTCGCATTGTACCTAGCTCATGCTATGAAGAGAAAACCGTCAATTCGTGGAATTGTATGCAACCAATATTACACGATTTCAGGATACGTCAAACATTTCTTGAACTGTTATCGAACATACCATTCCAATTTATTCGTTGTGAAAAATTTGACACTAATAAAAAATACACACTAATGGGCAACTTAAATTTGAGATTAAGCGACCATTTTTATAGCATAGATTATTTCAAACAAATTCGCGTAGAGTTGATTACCTGTTTTCATCTATTCCCCATGATGAAATAAATAAGAAAGTTGGATGTTGCACATGCGCAACTCGATTTTTTGCGCATGCATTTTGTTTTCTTTTATTAGGAGGACCTACCATCCAAATTTCGTTTAATTGTTCCATAAATAAGAAAATTGCATTTCTGCGCATGCGCAACACGATTTTTGCGCATGAATTTTGTTTGCTTTTATTAAAGGGACTTACCATAGAAATTTCGTTTAAATTGCTTCAGAAACAAGATCGTTGCGTTTTGCACATATGCAACACAAATTTTTTGACTTTGACAATTTTTTTCTCCGTTTTTTGATAATATAACCCGGCCCAATTTTTTGTAGGTTGTACACAGGAAAATAAGGTCTTCCAAATAATAGAATAAAAATTTTAGGTTGCTATTTGAAAAAAAAAGTTCGATGCCGTTACGGCGCTCCAACATTTTTTTTCAAAAAATCCGGCCCGTTATTTTTCTGTTCGGTATGCCTAAAACATATATACAAAATTTCAACAAAATCCGTCGAGCCGTTTTCTCAGAAAATTGCCAACAAATGTACGTACGTACGTACGTACGTACGTACATACAGACGGAAAAAAATTTTATTCTTTAAAAGTTGCTTAAAATGGTCTAAAACGTCGACATTTGATGAAATTTTGAAATATTCAAAAAACGGCTATCGCAATAGCTACCTAGCACATGCTAGGAAGCTAAAAATATATACTGAAACAAGGTTAAGTGGAAGAGCAGGATGTTACTTGTGACCAATCTGAACTTCGCCTTGGGGTTCAACAAGCATATGAGTTTTTATAATTTTATTGTTTTTGTATGTTGTGTATACAATTTTTAGCTTCCTAGCATGTGCTAGGTAGCTATTGCGATAGCCGTTTTTTGAATATTTCAAAATTTCATCAAATGTCGACGTTTTAGACCATTTTAAGCAACTTTTAAAGAATAAAATTTTTTTCCGTCTGTATGTACGTACGTACGTTTGTTGGCAATTTTCTGAGAAAACGGCTCGACGGATTTTGTTGAAATTTTGTATATATGTTTTAGGCATACCGAACAGAAAAATAACGGGCCGGATTTTTGAAAAAAAATTTTGGAGCGCCGTAACGGCATCGAACTTTTTTTTTCAAATAGCAACCTAAAATTTTTATTCTATTATTTGGAAGACCTTATTTTCCTGTGTACAACCTACAAAAAATTGGGCCGGGTTATATTATCAAAAAACGGAGAAAAAAATTGTCAAAGTCAAAAAATTGTGTTGCATATGTGCAAAACGCAACGATCTTGTTTCTGAAGCAATTTAAACGAAATTTCTATGGTAAGTCCCTTTAATAAAAGCAAACAAAATTCATGCGCAAAAATCGTGTTGCGCATGCGCAGAAATGCAATTTTCTTATTTATGGAACAATTAAAACGAAATTTGGATGGTAGGTCCTCCTAATAAAAGAAAACAAAATGCATGCGCAAAAAATCGAGTTGCGCATGTGCAACATCCAACTTTCTTATTTATGGAGCAATTTTAACGAAAATTGGATGGTAGGTCCCTCTAATAAAAGCAAACAAAATGCATGCGCAAAAATCGTGTTGCGCATGCGCAGAAATGCAACTTTCTTATTTATGGAACAATTTTAACGAAATTTAGATGGTAGGTCCTTTTAATAAAAGCTAACAAAATGCATGCGCAAAAAATAGTGTTGCGCATGTGCAACATCCAACTTTCTTATTTATGGAGCAATTTTAACGAAATTTGGATGGTAAGTCCCTCTAATAAAAGCAAACAAAATGCATGCGTAAAAAAACATATGTTGGCAATTTTTGGTTTCAGCTAGGAAGCTATTCTGTCAAGAATTTGACACCTGGTTTTTATATAGCTTGTTGAATAAAGACATTATTATTATATAGTAGTATAGTAGATGACACTTTGCACCCGAGCATGGTCATGTAATATACTAGCGTGGATGACGAGAAAACATCCCGATGCCCGCATACATATAAAATTGTATAGCTCGCTCTTGAGGTTAACATGTGCAGTCCAATTTAAATTTTCATTAGTGTGGGCCCCTAGATTTTGTTCAGAATGATACCAAAACTTGCACAAAGGAAAAACTATTGCTTGGAACTTCAGTGCATTTTCCATGAATGATCAGTACTTCCCAAAAGGCAATAGCTATGTGCGCTGTGATTTTCTTTACTAGAGGCATATATGTATGGTTAACATTTCAAAGAAATATCTCCATAAACAAAAAAGTTGGCGTTACGCAGTTCGCGTATGAGCACATTTAATTTATGCGATGTTTATTTTTACTAGCCGAGAGAGATTTTCATAAGTAAAAAAGTTGGCATGCATGCGTGGATTTAATTTTTACTGTGTGCGATATGTTTGAGAGATGCACAGTGTACCTATAGGCATTTTTCTAGAACATGATCGAGGCACCATCATGGTTAAATATTTGCATTGTATATTTATTAATATACAATGATATTTGTACTTATTCAATTCCTGAAATTGAGTGTAACATGTATCTATTTTTCAGAAATTCCCCTTTACCTTATCGATGTCGAAAATATTAAGTACCTATTCTAAATTATCGGTGTTTATCTTCTCTCGCTACCCGATATAAATAAGGGCAACCAAGGCGACCCGAGCGTTGTACAGCTGCAGCTTAAGCCTTGTTTAACTTCAGTAATTTACACCTACTCGTATATAAAAATGCATCAAAACTCTTCGTATTTGTGGTGTTCATTATCGCCAGCCTTTTCAGGGAAGCAAAATGCAGGAGACTTGTAAGTATTTACTAAAAAGAATAAAAACATTACTAAAACGTTGTTTTCTAGGAAAATGCTGGGAAGAGGGTTTGCGACGCGGGGACTATTGCAGTATCGAAAGGAAAACATGGTTGAGAGAGGCAGAGTTTGATATCGTTCTGATTCCGCTTACCTGTATATATTTGCATAATTTTGAATAAAATGACGTATGACTGAAAGTAGTGTTATCACTCTACCAATTTATTTACCTCGCATTACATTTACATTTGCATTGTTATTCTTCATGATGGAATAGCCGCGGTCGCCAATATTTGCTAAGTATTAATCACGTCGATTCTAGTGATTGTGTTATCGTTCGGTTTGTTCCTTGGTCTTACTTTTTATAACACTGTCATTTTAAACCGTCTCTAAGGTTCATTTAAACTGGATTGTTAAGTTATCTATAAAATTCATGTTCTAGTAACATCTTTTATGGTACAATTTAAATACGTTGCTTCATTTTTTGGTGATTCTATTACCATGGTAGCCACCTACGCCAACTTTAAGAAACATTTTGCTTTCATGATAAAAATTTATTTGTTACTCAATAGTAAACGTTATTACTATTCATGAAATTATTAGTGAAATGAACTAAATTAATAAAGTACGAAAAGGTAAGTTCCAAAAGTGCTATATACAATCAAAAAAAAACAAAGGAAATTACAAGGAGAATTTTATACATCGAACCACACCACGAATCTGAGAAAATCGTCAACCCTTTAAAGTGAAGCATCATTATACTAGACATTAAACACGACTAGCTCTTGTTCGAATTTCTTTACCTCAGGGGAAAAATAAGGATATGGAAGTATTTATGTATTAACGAAACGGTTTTTTATTCTTTTAATAACTTCGCTGTAAAAGAAATACAGAAATTTAATAAACTATCGGTTGGCAATGGACATTTATTCCATAAATTAATTAATTAATGCATACGAAATCACGAAACGTCTTAAAAGAGAACGCGTCCTTTTGTACAAAATAGTAATGAAGGGAAGAATTCAGTTCCACTATTCCTCTCGGGTTTGGTTTTTAAAATAAATTAACATAACAGCTGAAAAAAATATCGCAAATATACATTTATTCACGCAATTTGAGTTTTCCATTAACAACATGTGCCATAAAACATCAAAAGGGACATTACTACACATCAAATTATGCAACTGTGAAAATGGGCGTTTCCCAGGGGTCAGTTTTGGGGCCCATACTCTTCGGACTATATGTTAACGATTTAACATCTTACCTTAATGAACAAACGGTTTGGGTGCTGCATTCAGAGAACATCTCATTATTAATTTCAGAAAAAACGATAATTCTCTTCAAGCAATATCCGATGTAAATGGGTTAAGTGGAAGAACACCTGGTGGCGATGTTGCCCCTAGGTCAACTTCGCCCTTTAGATCGTCATCCAATAAAGACCTTATTATTATTATTATTTACATAAAATTTATAACTGGTGCAACGCTAATTCTTGACCTGAACCTCTTTGAGGTGTAAGTTGTTTTAGAAATTAATTTTCAGTCGTAGTTATAGTTTCAACGCCGAGAAAACTGGATAGACCCATCATTTAGCGGGCCAAACGCCAATTTATCTAGCAGATTTGTTAGGGTAATAGATGCGCCTAAGGATAAAAATTAAACATGGTATTATGGCTCTATTAACTATTTTTGAAGAGTTTATAATTTTGCGGTGTCTGTCCGTCCGTTAGCACAATATCTCGATAACAAATAGACCGATTACGGTAAAGTTTAGTAGATGGAGTCTTTATCAAATTTGTAGATCGGAGTTCGTGAATTGGCAATGTAGCCCAAAAAATAAGGAAGGCCCTTACTTATATCGAAATACGGTTTTTACAAATCGGTCGCAAGCCACTGCACTTTCAACACCGAAACGTGAATTAATTCATCACGGATCGCAATTTGGGTTATGGTATCCCTTATGTAGCTTTTATTGCACAAAGATTTAAGAGATTCCAGTCAGAAACAACACCTTAGTACCTATATCTGTTTTGTTCTTGAACTGGAGCCGTTTCGAAGATCTTTTTATTTAACATGTCAAAAAAAATTCCGCCTATTGCAAATCAAACGTATCTGACCCTTCTTTGTTTTCCTGAACTATTGCCTTCATAAACTTTATTTATGTCAGCAAATAAAACAAACCCAAAAATATCGATAACACAAAAGTCCCTCGCATATTTTTAGCTTTCTGCAGGTATAATATCATAGTCGCACCTGTATTTACATATTAGAAATCACCGACATTTTATGTTTACTTGGGCGCTTTGTTCAAAAGTTTGGGGAAAACACTGTGATTTCCCTGGTTGTTGACTTCTGATTTGTTTGTGCTGTAATATTTTCCAATGAGGGCATTATCTTCGCTCATGATATGATAAAACCAGGTGTCAAATGGGGGTTTACAGTATAGTTGAATTCCGCAGTTCTAATTTAATAAGCGTGTACCTGAAACCATAAAACATTTTTTTGGACAGTAAAAGTTTATTTAAAAATAGAGGCTGATTAGAAAAAAAATAATGAACATGTGCGGTTTTAAAGGTTTATTCAAAACGATATGATTGTGGCGGGCTCTGTGACGTAATAAGCCCGACCAATCAGCTCCTAGAACCATTCAGATGGCATAACGACTTGGCAATATTGCAGAAGAATGGCATTTATAACTTGCGTCATCTGTCACAGGCACTTGTCACTTTCGTGCTAGATGCAGTTAAACATCCCTTTCAAAACGTCAAATGTGACAAACGTCAGACCCTCGCGTAAGGTTGCCAGCTCACTTCTACGTGATTGGTTGTAGGTTTGTGACGTATTTAGTCTGAAGCGTTTCAAATTCGGACTAAAAACACAGCTTTTCAATCATTTATTTTGGGTTTATTTTACTCGCAAATAAAAATTGAGGACACACGGGTCTTTTTATTTTTAATGTACTTTGTGGATCAGAAATAAAAAATTAAGGCGGGATGGCCCCATTCTTGACAGAATAGCTTCCTAGCTGAAACCAAAAATTGTTTTGTTAGCTTTTATTAAAAGGACCTACCATCTAAATTTCGTTAAAATTGTTCCATAAATAAGAAAGTTGCATTTCTGCGCATGCGCAACACGATTTCTGCGCATGCGCAACACGATTTTTGCGCATGCATTTTGTTTGCTTTTATTAGAGGGACCTACCATCCAATTTTCGTTAAAATTGCTCCATAATTAAGAAAGTTGGATGTTGCACATGCGCAACTCGATTTTTTGCGCATGCATTTTGTTTTCTTTTATTAGGAGGACCTACCATCCAACTTTCGTTTTAATTGTTCCATAAATAAGAAAATTGCATTTCTGCGCATGCGCAACCCGATTTTTGCGCATGAATTTTGTTTGCTTTTATTAAAGGGACTTACCATAGAAATTTCGTTTAAATTGCTTCAGAAACAAGATCGTTGCGTTTTGCACATATGCAACACAATTTTTTGACTTTGACCATTTTTTTCTCCGTTTTTTGATAATATAACCCGGCCCAATTTTTTGTAGGTTGTACACAGGAAAATAAGGTCATCCAAATAATAGAATAAAAATTTTAAGTTGCTATTTGAAAAAAAAAGTTCGATGCCGTTACGGCGCTCCAAAATTTTTTTTCAAAAATCCGGCCCGTTATTTTTCTGTTCGGTATGCCTAAAACATATACATATACAAAATTTCAACAAAATCCGTCGAGCCGTTTTCTCAGAAAATTGCCAACAAACGTACGATGTACGTACGTACATACAGACGGAAAAAAATTTTATTCTTTAAAAGTTGCTTAAAATGGTCTAAAACGTCGACATTTGATGAAATTTTGAAATGTTCAAAAAACGGCTATCGCAATAGCTACCTAGCACATGCTAGGAAGCTAAAAATTCTTCATTAGGTCATCAAGTCAAATATTTGTACTTATTCGATTCTTGAAATTGAGTGTAACCTGTAGGTATCTATTTTTTCAGAAATTCCCCTTTACCTTATCGATATCGAAAATATTAAGTGTTCTAAATAATCTAAATCACCGGTGTTATCTTCTCTCGAGACGCTCATACCTGATACCTATATAAGTCCGGCCAAGCCGAACCGAGCGTTATTCAGCTGCAGTAATTAGCAACGTAAACATGAATGTATCAAAACTGTTCGTCTTTCTGGTGCTCATTATCGCCAGCCTTTTCGGACAGACGCAAGCAAAATGGAAAGGATGGAAAAGACTTGTAAGTATTTACTAAAAAAAAATGACAGCATTACTGTAAGATTATGTTTTCCAGGAAAACGTTGGGAAGAAGGTGTTCGACACGGGGGTGGTTGTTGTTGCAGTAGCGGCATCAGGAAGACGGGGTTGAGGGTGGTGTAGTTTACTATCAATGAATACCTTACTCTTATTACCTATGTAACTACTATATATCACAATATCAATAAATCTACTACATTTGACTAATTTTGAATAAAATAGTGTACCTATGATCATGTATGAAAGTTGCTTTATAATAAAACCAAAGAGGGGTACTCTGTACAGAATTAAACCTTCGTTTTGTTAGAAAATTATGTCAAATTAGAACAAAATGCATGAGAATAAATAATATTTTCACAATAAAACTAGCACAAACCATTTTTTGCGATGTTTTCAAAACTATTGAAGATATTTTAAATTTCTTTTCAGATTATTATTCAGCACGAAAATTCGCAACATTGCCATCATTTAACCAATATATAGTTGGCATTCGAAAAATGGACACCGTGTATGCGCTTAAAGTAGGGGTGAAATCATCTCTTAAATGACGCAGTTATTAAGGATCTTTAGATCTTTCATAAAGAGCGATTACAAAAATTCCACGTCATAGTTGGTGGTCATAACGGATTTATAAAAGGAATCAAAACACTTGTGCCACGCTACGCCATGATAAGTGCCTCAATTTGAATGGCGCTTGTGTTGATTAATAGCCGAAGAGTGTAGCCCCCAAATGTATATAATAGATTTTCTGTTAAAATTGTTTTATTTCAGAACGTCTGCTACTTTCTGGACAACCCTCGTAATACACTATTATATCAATGATTTTTATTGGATATTTAGCTGCACACCCTAGTGCTAGTCTTTAATTTTATTGTGAACAGGTACAATTACACAACCAACAATAAGAAGCATCATTTAACGTATGCAATTTCCAAAGTTTTTAATTATGATGACTGCAATTACATGTCAAAAAATTCTTTCACACGCTCCGCTTTGAATCGCTGATAACTGATATATGTATCATGTAATTACTCTACAATTAAAGTGTAACCTATTAACACTTACAACCTTCTCAATTTGTGAACAATGTAATTGCGCTACCCTAAGCAAAACTTAAAGGGGCACATCCACACATTGTAAGATGTGTACGCCACAAATAGTAGAAAAGTTTAAATAGTCATTTACTATTAAACCATGACACATCGAAGAATACCTATTTTTATGTTGTGGTCAGTGTAATTGTGCCACGAATAGTAGGTAAGGCTGTTTTAAAGCATAATCGATGTAAGGGAATGTCGGCGAGTTGTTGTACAGTTGTACGAGTGCTCTAGAAATTGAGTGATAAATAGTGATCTTTATTGGTAATTTGAAAATTGCAATAAAAAATGTTGCATTTCTACCAAGCTTACCCCACTTACCACAGTCGCTTTTAAATGAAATTGTTTACTAATTGAAAATTTTAATTAATTAATTTTTATATATTCGCGTTTAATGAAATAAGTTGCAAGTTGTTACTTTTTTGTTCTATTCAATTCGTAATAAAAAAAATTACATCTCGAAAAATTAGAGCGATGCCAACTATATATTATACGTATCATTAATTCAGAGACATAACAATCCTCCCTCCTTAATTACAACTATAAATTCAAGCGGTTTGGCGGTAAACGCAATCGGCCTGATCTACGAAGAATATCTGCTGAATCTGGTTGTACCAACGTCGGTTCTTGGTCAGTTTCAGACTCCTGTTGCTGCGGCGATTGTTGCCAAGTATTTGATTGCCTATAAGGTGTTGATTGACCAACCGGTAATCTCATGGGTGAAGTTGAGTCAATCACCGAAGAATCGGTAGAAACACACGCTGGTCTTGTCTCGGCTGATTTCGACATAATGGTTGGATGTGGTTGCGATGTACTTGGTGCGGCTTCTAAGGCCGAATCTGAATGATCTGCATGGGTATCATCTCCTCCTTCACAAAGCGTTCGTCGCATCTGGTTTACGTGACACTTTCGATGTCTGCCATCCACTTCTACATCATAATGTGTAAGGCCACATCGTGCGAATACAGTCCCAAATTCCCATTTAACTCGTAAGTTTCGGTATGACCGTATCTGTACTTTGTCACCTGATACAAATTCTCGTGATACTGGTTCATTCGACGAATTTTCATTCATCTCAGTGGTCAGATCTCGTTTCATGAGAACCAATTTGGTTCGGATTTGTCGCCCAAACATGAGTTCAGCTGGACTTTGACCTGTTGTACTGTTCGGTGCCTTTCGATATTGTATCAGCAGGCGATCCAACTTCAAATCCAAATCACCAGGCTCATCTGCCATGCAACGCAAACCCTTCTTCAGCATTTGCACATAACGTTCAGCCTGCCCATTACTTGCTGGATGGTATGGCGCCGTGAATTTGTGGCGAATACCATTTTGTTTCGTAAATGTGTCCATCTCGTTTGATCGAAATTGTGGGCCATTGTCGCTAACCATCGTAACTGGAATACCAAACCTAGCAAACGTCCTTCTCAAAATTCGAATCGTAGTTTTCGTGTCAGTATTCCTCGTAGGAAAAATCTCCGGCCACTTACTGTAAGCGTCGACGATCAATAGAAAGTTCGTGTTCATGAATGGCCCAGCATAGTCTATATGAATTCGTTGAAATGGGAACGATGGAAACTCCCACGAATGCACTGGAACTTTGGCGGCTTCCTTCTGAACCAAACAGCAACTTCGACATTTCTTTACCGTCATTTCAATATCGGCATCAATACCATTCCAAAAACAGTAACTACGTGCCATAGCCTTCATCTTCGTCATTCCCAAATGAGCATCGTGTAATTCGTTCAAAACTGTTTGTTGCAGTGATTTTGGGATGACAACGCGCATACCATAGAAAATGCATCCATCGTGCATGTTATACTTCGTTTGTGTTTCGTTCGGGTTCGATGAACTACTCTCCAGTTCGTGGCAAACTTTACGCAATACTTCATCTTTAATAGTTTCTCGTCGAATTTGTTCTCGTGTTACTGGCATGTACTCTATCTGCTTCGTTTGAAATATGCTCGTTTCGTCTTCAGCAATCTTTGTTGGTTCTGGGAAACGTGAAAAATAATCTGCATTTAAATTTTCGTGCGTGCTCCGATACTCTATTGTATAATTGAATTCTGACAAGTATATTGCGTAATTCAGCATTCGCATTGCTGAAAGCGTTGGTAGTGCCTTGTCGGGGTTAAAGATCGTCACTAGCGGCTTATGGTCCGTGCGCAATACAAATTTCCGGCCGTAGCAATATTGGAAAAATTTGTTAATGCCCAAAAAAATTGCGGTTGCTTCCTTATCTATTTGGCTATAATTTTGTTCGCTTTTCGACAATGTTCGGGATGCAAAGGCGATTGGTCTTTCCATTCCATTGGACATCTTATGTGATAACACGGCACCGAGACCAACAGATGATGCATCAGTTTCCACGATCAATGGCAATTTCGGGTCATAGTGCATCAAAACCCGGTCGCTGGTCAATTCTTTTTTTATTATATCAAACGCCTTTTTGCATTTATCTGACCAGATAAATTTAACCTCCTTTCCCAGGAGACTGTTCAACGGTTTTATCTTTGTAGCCAGATCGGGTATAAAACGGTGATAATAATTTATCAAGCCCAAAAATGTACGCAGTTCCTCGACGTTTGTAGGTGTTGTAGCATTGCGTATCGCAGTGGTCTTATCATCCAGAGGATGCAGGCCCCTCGAATCAATTCGATGGCCCAAATACTTCACGTTCGACTTGAAGAATTGGCACTTTTCCTTCTTCAAGTGCAAATCGTTGTCTCGCAGTTTCTTCAGTACGTTTCTTAATCTTTGCATAGTTTCTTCGATCGTTGATCCTTGCACGATTATATCATCAAAGAAACAGGCTACCCCATCCAATTCGTGCAGTAGTTGATCCATAAAGCGCTGCCAGATATTGGGTGCAGTCTTTACTCCGAACATTAATCTATTGACCTTGTAAACCCCTTTTTCAGTACTTATGCTTGCAACATTGCGCTATGTTCGTCAACAGGCATGTGTAGATACGCGCGACTGACATCAAGTGTACAGAAAAATCTTCCCCCGCTCATTTTCGCAAAAATATCTTCGATCCTGGGAATGGGGTACTTGTCATCCTTCAAAAATCGATTCAATGTCACCTTCTAATCCGCACACAAACGAATGGAGTCGTCAGATTTTACAATCGGAACCACAGGTGTTCCCCATTGACTGTGAACAACCTTTTCAATCACGCCCATCGCCTCAAGTCGATCAATTTCAGCGTTCACACGATCTTTCAAGGCATACGGTACTGGTCGAGCTCTCCAAAATTTTGGTGCGGTGTTCTCTAGCATTTGTAAATTGCTCTCCATCGCTGGAATTCGACCTAATTTATCATCGAAAACATCGCCGAATTCCTTCAAAAACGACTTCAACAATTCATCGGAATTTGCTTGCGTGACCGTGACCTCGTGAATTTCTAAGTCATTCAGCGGACGTTTATGAAGATCCAGGATCCTAATCCACTGTCGGCCGCAAATAGAGTCAACATGATCTCCCACAATAAATAAGCGCCCAATGGTTACTTTGTTTCCAAAACTGATCGTAACATTACATGTGCCCAGTGGCTCAATTATCTCACCAGAGTAAGTCCTCAATCGAGAAGATGTGTCGGAAATCGAGAGCCCAGGACACACCTTCAAAAAATTTCGATAAGACATCGTCGAAACTGCTGCCCCCGTATCCAGTTCAAATTCACAATTGTTCTGTTCCACCTGGATGTTCACCATAAACTTGCCACTCCCTCCGCTTTTTACGCCGTGCATGTGAAAAATATTTCCAATCGTATACATTTCAAATTGATCGTCTTCAACGATGTCATCATTATCCTCGGATTGCGTTACTTGTTGAACTGTTTTAATGTTTCCCCCCTGCATACAAACGGTGGCAATGTGGCCTACCTTCTTACACTTCGCACAAATTTTGTCTTTCATGGAACATCTAAAAGCACGGTGCCCTTCGTGGCCGCATCTGTAACATTTTCCCGTGAAGTCAAATCTTGTAGTTTCTTTCGACGATGTCGGGTTAACTTTTTGTCGGCCTCCGTACGCTTTCCATGTTCGTTGCTCCTTCACTGCATTAACAGGCTCACTATTATGGGTTTGCTGGCTTCTCTGGATTTCTCTGCTTTCAATTTTTGATGTGTTAATCGCTGTCGCCTCCCGTACAATTTCGTCGAACTTTGTGTCCTCTTTTAGACGCAACAACTCCTGCCGAATATCGTCGTCACGTAATCCACGAATAAATTGTG